TGACACCTCAAGCTCATTAAAGCAAGCAGGTCTGCTGTGGATCCATGCAGCCTCACAATGTCGGGGAAGTGCTTGGACTGTATAGGGAGGACCTGGACTGGCAGCGGAGGGGAAAAAGAGACGCCATTGTTTGGTTTGGGCCGCTGGCTCGACCAACAAGCAAGGCATTGTACAGTACTTTACTGCTGACTCGTCAGCAGCAGCTACTATGTGTGTTATGAACAAAATATTGAGAGATTTCAAACTCAAAATAAGTCAATCAGCTTTTTTTGTTATTTTTATTTTAATTTTAATGACTGTTTGGTGTGTTTAAAATGGAGGACAGGTTTGTTTTTGCACTTGTCTTTTCTTACTCCAAGTTTTTCCTCGTGAAAATAACAATAGTCACACTCCAGGGTCAAATCAGCCTTTTTACTGTATAACTTTAAGATTATTTGTTAAACTTTTTTAACACGAACTGCAGCACTACCTGTGGATGTAGCACTGCCATTTTTAAATAGTAAAAAAAATATAGGTGCTACAAATGTCCCACAAAACGCACTGTTATTCATACCCTGTCCGCTTAGTATTTATTGTGGCTTATTAGTGTTTTAGGATGTGAAGAATGTAAATATATAAATGAAGTGTTTTTTTTATAGGCTGTATTTTGTTTTGTTTTTAAATGTATATGTTTCCTACAGTAAAATAAAGGAATGGTGCAAAGCTGAACCACAGCAAACTACATGTGGTAATACAGTTTAAATCCATGTCTGTGAAAACATGGATGCTTAACACACATCATCCCCCCTCGGCAGCACAGAGGATCTACACAATCAGCACAGTTTAAAGGTGGACACCCAAGACTAGTGTCACCAATTCAGTATCTGACCAAATGCAACCTCTTCCTTTTTTGAGTCATGGTGTTGAGTAACGGCAAGAAAAGTGGTGTATGCCAAATACTGTGATGTCAACCTTTGACCTTTTGGATATAAAATGTCAACACTTGATCAGTTTATCCTATTAGACTTAAACGTTTTATACTATTAGACTTCTTTTTGTAAAATTTGTCATAATAAGTAAGCATTAATTCTTGAGTTCCAGCCTAAAACGTGTGTTTTAAGGTCACAGTGACCAAGACCTTTGACCACAAATTCTTATCAGTTCATTGTTGAAGCCAAGTGGCAAGGTGATCTTGAGATATAACGTTCATGAGACTGGGGCAGACGGGCATATGGGCAGACGGACAGACAACCCAAAAACATAACGCCACTGGCCAAGGCTGTTGCCAGCGTCGAGGCATTTAAAGCAGCTGCAGCCTTTCAGAGGAACAATGAAAGTGCATTTCTGGATATACACCGATAAGCCAAAACATTAAAACCACTGACAGGTGAAGTAAATTACATTGATCATCTTGTTAGAATGCAGTGTTCTCCTGGGAAACATGGGGTACTGGCATTCCTGTGGATGCTACTTGACAGACACCACCCAGCCAAACACCACTGCAGACTAAGCAAACCCCCTCATGGCAACATCAATCCCCAATGGCAGGACAATGCACCATGCCACTGCAAAAACTGCTCAGGAATGGCCAAATTCCCCAGATCCAAATCTAATCGAGCATCCTTGGAACATGCTGTTATGTCATCTCGCAACCCACAGGACTCAAAGAATCTGCCGTGATGACCCTGGTGCCAGACGCCACAGGGCATCCCCAGACTTCCTTTGCCCATACCATGGCATGTCAGAGCTATGCCCAATCCGTAGAGGCCCCACTGTGGATGGGCTGTACATCTGGGGTATTGGCATGTCCAACAGATGCTCAGTCAAATTGGAAACTGGGGAATTTGGAGACCAGGTCAATGTCTTGAGCTCTTTGTCATGTTCCTCAGGTCATTCCTGAGCAGTTTTTGCGGTGTGGCATGGCACATTGTCCTGCTGGCATCATGTTTTGTATATTAAAGAAATGTAAATTTAAATATAATTTGTATATCAATTACTTATCCCAAGGTTCCTTAAATTGGTGAAGCAAACTGTGAAATCCTCACATGCCTCCAGGGTGAACCAAGAATTCTAAAACAGACAATTCCTGATAGTCATAGGGGTCTGTGTTAAAAAACAGATGACTTATATCAAAACATATAATCCAAGTTTAATTTATCCAGTCACATTCTTCTCCCACATGCATTTTCACTAAAAAAAACACATTTAAAAAAAATGTGTTTTAAATGTACTGCGCATACGACTGGATAAATGACACTTGGATTATACTGCACAAGTTGTGTGAGTTGTAAACAGGTACTGTGACATACTTTTGCTGCTGTTAAAGGCGGACCCCTTTGTACTCCAGTTCATCAAGAATTTTCAGTTTTTGGATTCTTCAATCATGCTGGAGGCATGCAGGAAGTTTTCTTGACAAATTAAACTTTAACAAGGGGTGAGCAATATTACTTTAATACACTTACAAATTACCTTATAGCTGCAGATTATATAGTATAATTCAGTGGCACCAGACAGGTCAAGGCCACATACAGCCAATCAAATCACTGCTGATTAGTGTTGTATTTAATGACGGTCCACATTTATACACAGGGCAGAAATTTAAATGCAGTGCTTTTGTTCTTGCACCCATTTTTCAGAGGTTTAATACTTTGTTATAGACACGAAAGTAATGTGAGATCCTAAAAAAAGTTGTTTTTTTAAGATCAAACCGCACATTTTAGAGTGACTTCAACAAAAGAAAGGATGAATATGGTGCAAAAGCAACACTGAATGAGTTGCTGAGTCACTGCTTACTTTAAGGACTTCAGGGCTCAATGACACGACTACTAATAGTCAAACAGAAAACTCGACCAACAACTAGACACAATGCCCTCTTACATTTCTCTGCTTTTCAGTCTCATGTTTGCTTTTCTTCCTCAGATATCATTTGTAGACTGAGTTAAACAGCATTGTCAAGAAAGAGAAATCAGGTCTTGTACGTGTTGTCAGCCTGGAACTAGATTCATCACGGGGGGGTTCATCACATCGCTCTGCGTTCAGCTGTAGAAACAGTCAAGATTAAAAAAACACTGACCCCCTATTGAGAAATGCGGAAAAACAAATAAGAATCAAAGAGCGTTTGATCGTCATGGTGTGAGCAGCGACTGCAGCTGACCAAACAACTCAAACACAGTACCATTATCTTGTAAAGCACCATTTTTACGCGTAGGTTGTAACTCAATCTTCAAAAAACCTTGAAATTCATAATTTATCAACACAGTGCAGCATCAGGAAAAAGATTCAAAAATTAAAAAAAAGAGGATTAAGGAGCTTTTCATCCACCAAATGTAATTTAATTGAATAAAAAATAAACATCTGATTAAAGTCAGTGTTTTTCTTTTTACAGCATTCAGACAGATTCACAGTTGCATTTAAGTATCTCAGCAATTATTTCAAAATCACAAAATTAAAAAATATCTATACATCCTGAATGTGGGTACATCTCCAAACGCAGTCGCTACTGCTGTGCCTATTGTATGAAACATTCTCTGGGATTAAAATCTAAGGGCCACACCTGCTTTTTAAGTGAGCAAATGGATGTTAATTTAAAACCTACTTATGTTGGCTTTGTAGTTCCTGTTGCATCACTGCCTTCCTATGTCCTCTGCAGGACCAAGACAAGTGCTTCCTGCTGTTTTTGATGAACCTAAAAACAGCCGTACTTGGCCGAAATACAACATACTGCTGAAAATTAACACTAAAAATAAATTTTATGTTTAATATCCAAATTCAGTGATGTGCATTTAGACTAATAGTCAAATAAGCCTATGTCTGTGTAAATTACTTTCACATTGTATCCAAAGCAACACATTCTGCAGCCTGTTTCAATGTTTAAAATAAAGATAATTCAAAATATTCTGATGCTGCGGCTTCTAAATCACAAAGAGCGTTACAGCAATTCCAAGAACTGCTAAATATTTAATGACATTACATAACACTGCATAAAATCTGCAGTTTACAGTTTCAAATAAATGTATATCATCTGATAGCCTTCCTTATATCATTATAAAAATGTGATATGAAAATTTGATTATCAATACAGAGCGTTAATTATACTGATCCGATCAATTTTTCTTTTCAAACATTCAAACTGTAACATCACAATAGGAGTGTGAATGAACAAAATAAAAGTGATGTCTGTCAACCCTGAAAACGCAGTCTGTTTTAAACTAATACTCAGTGATCACATAGTAATCATGGACCTTTATTTGAAGGGTAAATCACTGTCACTGAAACAGGACAGTTCAGCATGTTACAACTCAAAATCCTCCTTGTTCGTTTCCTGTACAAAATACAAACGAAAAACCCTCTGGCCATCGCATGAATGGTCCCTTTCTCTGTGTTTAAAGGGATAGGTCAGATTCTTGAAGTGGGGCTGTATGGGGGACTTCACAGTCAGTGTATTACCTACAGTATATGTTTTATACTTCTGCATTGAATCGACACCGTACATACGGCATAGGCTCCACGTTGACATAGACTCTATGCCGTACCCTATGCTGTAGCCTTTCACAGATGAGAAACAGTAAATTGTGAAGACAATAGAGCCCCCACAAAATAGGAGTTTAAGTATTGTGTGCGATTTACCTTTTGGGAAATTTATACTTCGGGACTTATCCTGGCTTCACATGGGCAGAGGAAATCTCAGCTCGTCGCTAAGCTAATTTATGCAATGTAAAATGCCATAGGCTAATGCTAATAACGTTAGCATGTTATATTTCTTTGGAAAACGAGTTTAGTATAAAGACAGTTGTTTTGTCGGAGAACTTAAAGAGTTTTGTAATGGAGTGTAATTTTGTAACCTTACCTTTGTTAAATGTTGCTGTTGTACCTGGCTTCATATAAGAAGAGGAAAAGTTCGCTAGCTGCTAGGCTAATTCATACAATGTAAAATGCCATAGGCTTGTGCTAATAACGTTAGCATGTTGTATTTGTGGGGAAAATGTGTCCAGATAAAGACAAGTGCTTTGTCTGTGAATACTGTGAGTTATAGTGAAGCTGATTTGTGTACTTGTATTTGACATTGTTGCTATTAAGCCATGTTTGATGTGTGTTTTGGGTGTGTTTTGAATCAACTAAACTTTAGAGTACTTCACAGTAACTGCAGAGTCACACAGACACACCACCGCACAAGTATAAATGCTCACATCGGCGTAGGCAAGGTCTGCTGCAAAAGTATAAATCCCGCTTGAGTTTGAAGAAGCAGACAGGAGTACTGTAAGAGAAGAGAAGCAATATAGTGCTGTGGATAGTGGCAGTCGATTAAAATGGTATTCAAGCCCCATTCACACAAGACTTGTAATAACTGGGACCTCTGGTAATTTGTAATAACTGGGGAGGTCATCTGTCTTAATCCCATGTGACTGCTGTGTCCGTAAAATGTCAAGTTTTTGTCGAGGTTTTTGGTTTTCTCCACACCTCTTATGGGAATTATGGGTCCTGCATTGGCAATTAGAAATAAAAGTTTTGATAGCATTTTGGATGCAGGAGGCTCATCTCACTAATCACAGAAGAAGCAAACCGAAATCTATCAGACGAACAAACACACAAACATTACTGCTTTTGTCAGTGGAGTCTGGTGGCTTTGAAAAGTCTGCTTCTCCAAACTGGGGGCATGCCAACAACCATCTAATGTAGGTAATACACTGTTTATGGATAAGTACGTCATATAACCACAATTCAAAAAATTCTACTAACCCTTTAAGATGATTTGTCTCCATATGAAAGCACAGTACCACTTAGTGCTTTGTATTAAATAAAAAACGTAGACTTCTCTTCTCAGTTGCAGCAAACAATCTAATCATCAAAAGCCGTCGGGCACAAGACGCCTGTCTGACTCTTGTAGTGCAGCAGCTTTAGGTAGCAGAGGAGGCACTTGATTGAGGCTCAGCAGCTAACACTGAAACCACTCCGTCGACATCAGAGGGTTAAAATTTCTGATTCCGCTGAGTCTGAAGGTTCTTATTAGCAAAACTGGGATCTTAACAAGATACTGGCAGAAAACACTTGAAGGCGATAAACATTTCCTGTCATTATGCTTTGGCACTTTTGCCGTTTGACAAAGGCTGTGCCTCCGAATCTGCAGCCACGGGGCTGAGCTCTGTGGGCTCCGCCTGCTCATCAGCCCCGCCTCCTCCACTCTGCTGGTTTCTAAAGTGACGGATGAGGACCACAGCCGCACAGACAAAGTAGACGACAGTGAGAATGGTGAAGTAAACGAAGTACACCAGGAACTGTAAGTAAACAAAAAAAAAAAAACATCTTAAAATCAGATTTAAGACTTTTAAGACAAGTCATTGAAAATCATAAAATACTAATGGTGGATGACAAAAGTTTGACCTTGCTGACATCAACATTAATCTTGTTATTACCAGAAAAACCTGAACTTGAAACATTTCTCAGATGAAGGTTTAAGCGCCGTTCACACAAGTTGAAACGGGCAGCTACATGCAATGCACCGTTCTGCAATGTTGTGAAAACCTGCACGTTCACACCAAGTGAAAGTAGATGAGACAGTGTATCATATCTATGCAACAACTGTATTTCTGTTCTGATTTGCAGCTTTTCAGACCTATCTTGTGGCTGAATATAATTTGTAGCTTCTTAAAATATGAATGAGGATAGAGATAGTGAGATACAGTTGCATTTTTAGTAGTGATGAAACGGTGGAAAACATACAACGAGTATCAGATGGGCTGTATTCTTGATAAATACGCCACAATTATATAAAGTACCAGCGCCAGTAGGTGAACACCCTGTCTGCGGTCATTTTGACTTGACCAGTGGACTTCACTACGAGCCGACTGGCTGTTGAAACACATGATGTGCTTTACGTTTTAAAACCACCCGCCAGCGATTTGACCAGCTGATTCGCATGTGACACCATCAGCTGGCTTGAGTCGAGCTCAGACTGCCAGTTCACACTTCTGCAACCTTTCTCTGCAACGTTCTAAAATGGTTTTGTCTCGGCATGAATCTTTGGACTGAACTGGGCTTTATATCAATAAATGTAATTTAAGAAGTTCCTCATTATTTCAAAACAAGAGGACTACATTCTGTTTCTTTAGGACAGTCTCAAACGAGGTTAAAAACGTTCACTAAAAGTGCATTTTTACCACTGACATGTTCAGAATCTGATAACATAATGAAAAGGATCCCTACAGAAATAGACCTTTTCATTAAGAGTAAGATGCTTTTTGTTAGACTAGAAACAGCCCCGAAATCGCCATCGTCCAACTCACCAGACTTTATTTAAATTAACAGTAATCTTTCCATAATGTTGTCAGACATCCAAAATGAAAATCTGAGCCTGTCAGTGGCAAAAACAAGCACTTTTAGTGGACATACTGTAAATTAATGGTACACAAATGCCCTGAGTGATTACATTGCAGCCTGTTTGGCGGCTGCCAGCTGTGGTGCTCCCGCTCAATACTGGACAAATTTTAAAAAAAAAAAAAAAAAAAAAAAATACTGATTACATTAGTCGCTAAGACACAAAAACATTTGAAAATGGTCCTTTGACTAATGATTGTTTTACCTGAGAGTGCACATCCAGCGCCAGGCCTCTCTTGTCGGAAAATATCAGGTTGATGACGCTCTTCAGTATGGTCCCCAAAAAGGTGTTGATACCAAACACTAAAGCACACAGCTCCTTGGTGAGTGATGAGGCTATCTGGAAACTATGGAGAGACGAAAGAATGACGAAAGAGTGTGACGCTACATGTTCAGGAAATTCAAAATGTATCTGTTGCAATCACACACTCACTGTGACAGATGGATTTTGGTGCTCCAATGATGTTTACCCTTACTCATAAAGAATGTAACTTTCTACTGCACCACAGTTTCAACTCAGGATTAGGAATAAAAGGTGTGTCTTGAACAGTTAAGTTTTGTAGTTTCATATTCAGACAGTAAATGGTATATTTCATTTGGCACTCACGTGGCAATAGGCACCAGAAACTGGTAGAAGCCTCTGAAGAGGACGTAAGCCACGTAGCAAACCCAAATGTTGTCTGTGGTGCCCATGAGGAGCAGCAGGCCTGCCTGCAGTGCTGTGATGACACCAATGACCAGCTCAGACCAGATGTTCCAACGGATTTTCGCATAACCAGCGCTGAAAGCAGTCAGCGCACCTGCAGAAACATAGACATCGATCATAACTCTATGCATCTGGGTTGATTTAAACAAGCAGCCTATGCCTAAGAACTACTCTGTGTTTTATTCCATTCTTTTATCTCTCATCTTTTGCTTCTGTCATACTATCATGGTGGAAATTGTGTCATTTCACCACAAAAACAGTGTGTACAGTCCTATTTTAATTAACCTATTAATTTTACTATAAAAGGATCTAAGTATAGTAGAGTATATAGTTTACTGTTATTTTCAAGAAATGTTGAAGAACTACGTAACTGACACCACTTTTAAAGGACAATCATTTACCTACTATATTCTGTTTTACAACATCGCTTTTACCACTTGCACATGACGTCAAGGTAATTTAAACCAACTGCTAACTATGTGCTTTTCAGCTGATTAAAAGGGCAATGACTGATAACTAAACCTGATGTAATCACTTATCAGAATAAAGACGGAAGATCAATTATTCAACCTCATGACTACATGTGACAGAAGTCCACAGTCAGTTAAAGACTAAGTTCATTATTTTTTTAACCTAGATCCTATTTTGCCATGTTTCTGTGTCTAAGTGACTAATGGAAACAGGGTTGCTTGTTTTTGTCACTGATAGGCTCAGATTATTTTTCCTCAGTGTCTGACAATATTATGAAAATAATTCCTATAGAGATAGACCTTTTCGTTAAGAAATAAGACCCTTTTAATTTACTGGAAACAACCCTGAAATTACCATCGCCAAACCCACCAAATTCCATTTAAATAAACAGTAATTTCATCATCTTAAAACACACTTCATTCCAAGTAAACAGAAACCCTCAATTCACTTGGTTCGATGTGAAAATATGCTGGCTCTAAACGTGACAAAATTCATGTTTTTGAAAATGGAGTCTGGTGTGTTTGACAATGGAGATTTCAAGGCTGTTTGCAGTTTAACAAAAAGGATCTTACTCTTTAACAAAAAGGTTTGTCTCTGTAGGGATCTTTTCCATGATGCTGTCAGATATTTAAAATAATAATAATATGAGCCTGTCAGCGGCAAAAACAACCTTTAGTGGACAAACATTGACAGTGGATGGTGCACAAACGCCCAGAGTTACATCTAAATTTAGATTGCAAGCTGGGGTTGCATGCCATCATGAATAAAAGCATTGGACTGTGAAACTGAAACCTGACTGCTTTATGAGCACTGAGGAACAGGTCTTCCTATAAAAGTATTATAGCTCCAGAAATGTCTCACTCAGCAAGGTAGAAGCTGCCTCCACGGCTCCATTGTAATGGTCCTTGCTCTCCGTTGGTGGGTAGACTTTGTTCCACAGGATGTGAACGTAGAACAGTACCAGGTAGTACCCTGTGGAGTTGAAAATCCACCACAGGGACCATAGCCTCAGGTTGGGCCTCCTCACCACATTCCCCACCTCCAGCAGCATCTGTACAAAGATAGAATCCTTCCAGCGTGATGCAGAGCACAGCGATGCTGCCGAGGACGGGCTGCTCTCTTTTGGGTTCATTTTGTCCAGCTCTGATTTGGTGGCTACTCCTGCCACTTCCTTTTGCTCTTTATTCAGCGTCCGGTTGAAAAACAGGGAGCGTTTAGGCCACGGCAGGCACAGCGAGAGAGTCAGACCAAAGCTGACGAAACCCAAAGATACAGCGCAGAGGGTGCGGAAACTTATTTTGATCAAGGAAACGCACACCTGGCCCAGCACTGAGCTGGTGAACACCCCCAAAAGGACTGAGGAGCGTGAGTATCCGGCCACACGCTGGTAGAGACTTGGACTGACCAGGGAGAAGATGTAGGAGGAGTAGGCCACGCGGCAGGCCATGGTGATGCCGTAGAAGAACTCCATGAACTGCATCTCAAGGAGGGTGGTGCCCAGGAGCAGAATGACCCAGATGACCACCTGGCTGACGCCCTGGATGACCAGAACCGGCTTGTAGCGCAGAAGATCTGTCAGCAGGAAGGCTGGTACCAGCACAGCCATGTAGGAGTACGTCAGCACAGGAGTGATCTCATTGGTCACCTGGAAATGACAGTAAAGTCATGAGTGAGGCGCACGAAAGCTCCAGTGTTAGTTCACAACATGTAGCTCTGCTGGAAGGACACTTAATGCCTCAAGTGTAATTCAATTTTAGAGTTAATCGACTTTCCTCTAAATTTCCAAGATCTCAGTCTTATTGAGCATCCGTGGGACGTGCTGGTGCTGCACCAGTGGTCCTACATCCACGCCTCAAAAGGTAAGAGCCAAGTCCAATCTAGAGTGGGGGCCCTGACCTGTTGAGGCGTGGACATAGGACCTTTGGTGGTGACCTATAGTGTCTGGCACCAGAGTATTGGTGGTGGATCCTTTGAGTCTTGTGGGTTGCAAGGTGGGCTACCGGCACCTCCCACGGATGCATGATCAGATTGGGCTCTGGGGAATTTGGAAGCAACGCAGACACCTTGAGCTCTTTGTCACGTCCCTAAGGCTGTTTTTTAGGTAAGGCATGGCACATTGTCCTGCTGGGGGGCCACTGCCATCTGGAAGTACTGTTGCCATGAGGGAGCATACTTGACCTGCAACAGTGTTTGTGTGGGTGGAGCACGTCAAGTGGCATACACATGAATACCCGGACCCAAGGTTTCCCAGCAAAACATTGCATGTGATCGTATCAAGATGATAAATGTTGTTCACTTTATCTGTCAGTGGTTTTGATGTTGTGACCGTCACATGACTGGAATCAATTTTAATGCTGCTACAATCATTTTTGATTTTGACAAATACATATACAAAATCATTTGTAAAATCGATTTCTATTTAAATCTGCAACAATTAGACAATAAACATCCTTTTTTTAATATATCAACTGATCATTTGTCATTTTTCAAGCCAAAGAATGTCTTGTTAAATATGAAGATTTCCTGCTTTTATCTGATTT